GTCGCTGCTGCGAGGACCCGCCATGGATTGGTGGCGCGTCATCGTCACGAAGCCGTTAGACTACGCGACTCTACCGACACGGGAAGGACAAACCGGACCCTGGGCGTCGTTGTATTTCGTGGAGGTGCCCCAGTATTGCACATGGGACGCGTGGTGCGCAGGTCTACTCGCTCGTTTCGAGCCAATCGCGGCTTCGATCGTGGCGCGACAGAAGCTCCACACTTGGCGCCAACTCGGTTCCGTCCAAGACTACACGGGCGGATGTCTGGCGCTATGCAAGCAGGTGGGATACATGCACGAGAGCGAGCGCATCGACCGCTACATCGGCGGCCTGAAGCAAGACATCGCTCAGGAAATCCAGCTTCGCGGCGTCACCGACTTTCAAGAAATTCTCGCTATGGCGGAGAAACTCAACTTCTTCCGCCGACCGAGACCGGAGTCCTAAGGAAGTAACCATTGGGGACATCGGCCTCGCGGGATGAACGAGAGCACTACGATACGTGCCGTCACCGCAAATGCCGCTGCCGCACCGTTCAAAGGGCGCTACTTTGCGTGCAATCGGCCGGGACATCGCAAGAACGAATGCATGGAAAACGCTAAGGGAAAAGGGGAAGCTCAGCAGCAGAAACAGACCAAGCAGCAGGGAAACGCTGGGAGTCAGTAGCAGACGGGCCCTCTACTGACAGGTCACGGCGCTCGCCCAACCCAACCGACCCTCACCGAGTGATTATGCCGGTTCACGCAATCGACCACACCCGGCCGAATAAGGAGGGTACTACGGTAGACAGCCCCATACTGCTTAGTGGGAAAATTGGGACGGACTTAGTAATAATCTTCGTAGACGGGGGAGCCAGCCACAGCCTTATCAACACTGCCACAGCACGAAAAATGCGACTGCCACCGGACAGATGTTTACCTAAGATCGACGCAAGAGTGGTAGACGGCACGCCGCTGGCGATACGGGAACGCGTAGACCGGGTTCGGATTCGATGCGGGGGTAACTTCACGTTTAGCCTAGAAATGCTCGCAACGACCCTCGACGGAACCGATATTTTACTCGGGCGTGATTGGCTGCGACGACACAATCCGCGAATCGACTCGACGACGTGTGACTGCATTGTGCGAGTGAACGGTAACAACATCGCCTTACCTCGCTGGGGCTCGCCTGAGTCTTCGTCGGTGCGTGTCAACGCGATCACGATGAAACGCGCCGTAGCGGCAGGAGCTGACGTGTACGCGGTCGACATTCGGGAAGCCGAGGCAGCAGACAAAGGAGGGGATTTACAGAAACTGCTGGCCGATGTACCATATGATCTGGCAGAACTGTTGAAGCAGTACAGTGACATCTTCCCAGACGACCTACCGACGGGACTGCCACCTCAGCGACCCTCGACCACAGAATAGAACTAGAACCGGGGGCACACCCGACAGTACAGCGACAATTTCGACTGACCCAACCCAAACTGGACGAACTGAGGAAGCAGCTCGATTACCTGCTCGAGAAGGAATTCATTCGCCCTAGTTCGTCGCCCTTCGCAGCACCGATACTGTTCACACCAAAAAAAGACGGGGGATTTAGCATGTGCATAGATTACAGAGCACTGAACAGGGTTACCATCAAATCCCATTACCCCATCCCGCGAGCCGACGAATTGATCGACCAACTGCGCACAGCCGGAGTTTTCTCGAAAATCGACCTCCGAGGGGGTTACCACCAGATTCGCGTCAATCCGCCCGACTGCCCTAAGACCGCATTTCGCACACGCTACGAATCCTTCGAATACACCGTCATGCCCTTCGAACTGACCAACGCCCTCGCCACCTTTTAAATGACCATGAAAGAAGCTTTCCGCCCGCTTTTAGATAAGTGCGTCATAGTATATCTGGACGACATACTGATTTACAGCCCCGACATAGCACAGCACTTACAGGATATCGAAGCAGTTTTTAAGATACTGAGTGAGAGCTGCCTACTGACATAAGCGTCTAAGTGTGAGTTTTTACAGGACCAACAAGAGTTTTTGGGTTACGTTATTTCAGCTACAGGAGTGGAAATAGACCCGAAGAAAATTGCGACGATTCAAGCATGGCACGCGCCGACCAACTTGACCGAGTTGCAGAGTTTTTGGGGTTCGTCAACTACGTGCGCCGGTTCGTCCCCGACATGGCGAAGCTGACTGCTCCGCTGACAGACCTGCTGAGGAAGGGGGTTGAGTGCACGTGGGGGGAGAAAGAGCAAGCTGCCTTCTCGGCCCTCAAAAACATTTTGTGCTCACCGCCCGTGCTTCACATCGCAGATCCGCACCGTCCGTTCGAGCTCGTCACTGACGCAAGCGACATTGCTGTGGGAGCAGGACTATTGCAGAATTTAGGCAACGGCCTCCAGCCAATTGCGTACGAGTCCCGCAAGCTGCACCCGCCCGAACGCAACTACCCGATACACGACCGTGAAATGTTGGCGATCGTGCACGCGTTCAAGGTTTGGCGGTGTTACCTGACTGGTGCCGACGTGATAGTACGGACAGACCACCGATCACTACAGTACCTGCGCGCCCAACCGAATCTCAATCCGCGACAGATTCGCTGGTTGGACTACCTCGAGTCCAACTTCCACTACACGGTTACGTACAAAAAAGGCGCCTCCAACATCGCCGACGCACTCACCCGCCCTACCGCCCAACTCCATGCCATCCTACTCACCCAAACCAACCCACTTTTAACAGGCCTATTCACCCACGGATACCGCACCGACCCATTTCTCACGACCGGAAATTCACAGCAACTGGCAGAAGCTAAAGGAGTTTATTACGTAAAAACAGGCACCAACCGCATCTGGGTACCCGCGTACTCACTACTGAGGGAGCTGCTACTTCAGGAGGCACACGACGGAATTACCTCGGAACATTTCGGGGTAGAAAAAACGCGACAGCAACTGCAGCGGTATTACTACTGGCCGGAGCTGTTGACCGACGTGCAGCAGCACGTGGGCTCGTGTCCCACGTGTCAGGTGATGAAGAGCTCGAGGAAGCGGAAGACGGGTCAATTGCAGCTGATACCACCGCCCGAGCACGCCTGGCAGCAGGTTACCATGGACTTCATCACAGGGTTACCTTCGAGCCCTGGAGGTAACGACGCGGTGATGGTCGTCGTTGACAGGCTAACAAAGATGGCACACTTCGCTGCGTGCAAAAAGTCGATCTCAGCCGAGGAGACCGCTCGCCTGTTCATCGCAACCGTTGTTCGCCTGCACGGGATACCAGCAGCGATTATCAGCGATAGGGACACAAAGTTCACCAGCAACTTCTGGAAAAACCTCTGGGAGTAGTTCGGGACACGGCTACAGTTCAGTTCGTTGTACCACCCCGAGACCGACGGTCGAACGGAACGGACGAATCAGACGATGGAGCAGTTGATTCGTGCCACGTGCGACGACCCGACCACTTGGGAGCAGCAGCTGCCGCTGATCGAGTTCGCGTACAACAATGCCACGTCAGCGACAATGCAGCAGTCCCCCTTCTACCTGAACTATGGGCAAAACCCTACAGTGCCCATGACGCCGAGTCCGGACAACCCAACACCACGTGCACAGCAATTCGCCGAAATTCTGCAAGCTGCCTGCACCAGAGCCGCAGAAGCAATTAAAAAGGCAAACATCATCGCTAAGCGCAATACTGACCGCCACCGCCGCCCGGTCACATACCAGTTAGGGGACTACATACTGCTCGACACGCAAAATCTGCGACTGCCCGACATATCGAAACTTCGACCGCGCTACTGTGGCCCATTCCAATCAGCCACATGATCACGCCAGTAACCGCGCACCTACTGTTACCGACCGAGTGGTACATCAGCCCATCGTTCCATGTTAGCCTACTTCGCCCGTACATCCCAACCACCAGCCAACTGCCCCGTCACCGCCCGCATTTCATGACTCGTCCTGCATCGGAGCCGATCATGGAGCCCGAAAAAAATCTGAGCCACCGGATTCGCCACCCCACGGGAATCAGGAAGATTGAATTCCTCGTTCGCTGGAAGGACCGCACGCCAACTGAAGATAGCTGGGTGCCCCTAGCCAACATTGAAAACCACCCTGCCCTGCAAGTGTACCTGAGGAGCCAAGGATTCCGCGATATACACGTACTCCTGTAGCGGAAGGGGCTTCTTGAAAATAGGGGTAGTGTAAGGAATTTTCTCGGCATTCCTTACGGAGCCCGACTACATCGCGTACAGCAACAGCCGTTGTTCGCCCATTACTGCTAACGGGACTTCGCCAACCTCGCGCGCAGTGTTTTGTCAAACCTCGCACTGCTGGCCCGGCCGTGTCGGCCTACGCTTCGGGACTAGCCCGAGCCTCGCCGCCAGCGTAGCACTAGCTTTCTCGCACGCACCGCGTTACCGTTTGCATGTTTCGTGTATAAATGTTCGCTCATGCCTTCGCTCACATCTTTGTACTCGTTTGACACTCTAGTGCAATCCTCGCTACCATGATCCATTGCACCCGTAACACAAGGACAGTATTTTTGTAATATTACCATTCTATACTCGGGTTTTAAAACCGAAATATAAAATAGTGAAGGCGGATCCAACTTGAAATCATGCTCGGAAGAAGCAAAACTGGAACGACGATGGGCTGTGTAAAACACTGTTCCGGGCATCGCCCTTCCACGGACTGAACACACGTGATTCGTTCCCGCCAAAAAAAAAAAATCAGATCGTGCTCGCGCGTTCGCATTTTCTGCATGCGACATTTGCACGACTGTTGTTTGTCGTGCGTTTTGATGGTTGGACCCGACTTCGACTTTCAAGCTGGGCCTGGGTTCCACATATGCTTACTTCAACTCCATTCACGTAGCTTGCCTAACTCACGGAGCTTGCCTATCATAGAATAGCCAGAGCCGAGGGATTAGGCTGATGCAGCATAGAAATGAAATTATCATTAGATTGTTTGTGATACTTCGTCGCCGTTGCTGCGTAGTGATATTTTCCTCGTGATCACAAAGAACCCCATTCCCGTCGCCATTCCTCTCACCCCTCTCATCGCCCACTATGCTATCCTCGAGTTCGCCAAATCGCCCACCCGTCTCCCTTTCCGTCGCGCGTCACGTCGCCATCTCGTCGCCCGTCCCATCGCCCTCTTCGTCGCCCTCTCTCCCCTCCTCTCCTCCCGTCGGCCTCTCTCTTGCCCCTCCCTACCGATCGCCCTCCCGTCGCTCGCCCCGTCGCGCTCTCTCTCTCCGCTCCCTTCCCGTCACCCTCTCTCTCGCCCCTCCCTTCCCGTCGCGCTCTCTCTCTTCGCGCCCTTCCCGTCGCCCTCTCTCTCGCCCCTCCCTTCCCATCGCTCTCTCTCTCTCCGCTCCGCCCTCTCTCTCGCTCCTCCTTCGAATCGCGCTCTCTCTCCACTCCCTTCCCGTCGGCCTCTCTCTCCGCTCCCTTCCCGTCGCACTCTCTCTCTCCGCTCCCTTCCCCTCGCCCTCTCTCTCGCCCCTCCCTTCCCGTCGCGCTCTCTCTCTCTCTGCTCCCTTCCCGTCGCCCTCTCTCTCGCCCCTCCCTTCCCGTCGCGCTCTCTCTCTCCGATCCCTTCCCATCGCCCTCTCTCTCGCCCCTCCCTTCTCGTCGCGATCTCTCTCTTCGCTCCCTTCCCGTCGCCCTCTCTCTCGCCCCTCCTACCCGTCGCGCTCTCTCTCTCCGCGCCCTTCCTGTCGCCCTCTCTCTCACCCCTCACTTCCCATCGCGTTCTCTCTCTTCGCTCCGCCCTCTCTCTCGCTCCTCCCTTCGAATCGCGCTCTCTCTCCGCTCCCTTCCCGTCGCGCTCTCTCTCTCCGCTCCCTTCCCATTGCCCTCTCTCTTTCGGCACCCTTCCCATCCTCCCTGAGAAGAAACGAGAATGAATGAACTATGAATGAATTGGGTACAAGTACTAACCCTAATTGGGTTGTACCCCTTATGGGCTACCCCACTATAGCCAACACAATATGCATGAGCTATAATGTTCTGACACACCCCCATAGGCAAAGTGGGGGAGAACAAGGGGTCACAAGACCAGTCAAGCAAAGCAAAGCAAAGCAAGCTCAGGGTGGATCACAAAGTCACCACACCTTCCGAGCACAAGTTCAAGGCCACAAGGCCAGTTCACATGCAGGAGTACATATATATAAAAAGGCTAGACAAGCAAGAGCAGGTATATATATGTAACAATACAAGCAAGGTCAAGAGGTGAGCAAGTGAGGCAAGGTAGGCACAAGGCCCAGCTGAGTACAGAAGCGCTGATGGTCACAAGGCGCAAGCGCCTTGGTGAAGATATCAGCAGTGTTGGCCTCAGAGGCCACGTACGCAAGACGCAGCTGACCACGCTGCTGCAGCTCACGAGCAAGAAAGTAGCGGAGAGCAATGTGCTTCGTTCTGTGCTCCAGTCGCTGCTCCCGACACAAGGCCAGCATGGCCTTGTTGTCTACGTACAGCACTGGAGGAGAACGAGGCGGCTCTCCGAGGTCAGTCAGAAAGTAGGTGAGCCAGCGAAGCTCCTGTGCAGCCATGGCTCCTGCGTAGATCTCAGCCTCACAACTGGAGCCGAGAACCGAAGACGAGCGAGTAGCCCGCCACGAAACAGAGCCGGAACCAAGGCTGAAGGTGTAACCCTGTGACGACCGCTGCGTAGCCTGGTCGTCAGCCCAAGAAGCGTCCGCGTGCCCAGTAAGGACCACTGGACTCTGCCCTCCAAGCACAAGCCCCATGCCCGACGTACTGCACAAGTAGCGCAACACCCTCTTCGCTGCAGCCATGTGCTCCGGTCTGTGTCTCCCAGGAGCAACATAGCGTGCAAGAATGCTAAGAGGGTATGCAAGGTCAGGTCGTGTGCAGGTCATCAGGTACATGAGGAAGCCAACAAGCTCTGGGTACGGGCCACTCGACTCTACGGACTCATCCGAAGGCAGAGCTGAGAGCGAGTGGCGAGTAGGCAGAGGAGTGGCCTGAGGCGAGGAGTACGTGAAGCCGAAGCGCTGAAGGACCTGCTGCACCATGTGTGACTGAGTCAGGGTAATGGTGTGGCGTGCTCTGTCCCGAGTGATCTGCAAGCCAAGGTAGCTGCGTAGTTCACCCAGGTCAGTGCACGTGTGTCTCTTCTGCAGCTCGGACTTCACGTGGGCGAGTCCAGCAGTGTCAGCTGTGGCAAAGACCAAGTCGTCGACGTACACGAGGATGTAGAACGGCGGCAAAGAAGTGTCGGTGCGCAGAAACAGCGACGGATCGGCAGTAGAGGGAGCAAACCCAAGAGCCGCAAGTGTAGTCCTCAGTGTGTCGTGCCACTCACGCGGTGCCTGGCGGAGACCATAGACTGGCTGCCGGAGGCTCCACAGGGTGCCAGGAGGAAAAGACCCAGTGAAACCAGGTGGGCGACGCAGCCAGATCTCCTCGTGCAGGCTGCCCTGCAAGAAAGCAGTGCTGAAGTCAAGAGAGTGTAGCTCATAGTCACGGTGAGCAGCTATGTGCAGCAGTACCCGAAGAGTGGTCATCTTCGGGGTGGGAGAGAAGGTCTGAAAGTAGTCAACTCCCTGCCACTGACTGAAGCCACGAGCCACGTAACGCGCCTTGAAGACAGGCGGAGAACCCGGCGGTCGCTTCACCCTGAAAATCCACATGCCACTGACGATGTTCGCCCCAGGTGGGGGAACAGCGTCAACGTAGGTGCCTGTGGACTTCCAGGAAGCCATCTCTGCGTCCATAGCTGCCTGCCACTGAGAGGAGTAGGGACCCTCTATCGCCTCCGCGTAAGAGCGCGGAGTCGGGATGTCAAGTGCATCCGGGTCTCCCTCAGGGGTAAGCAGTACGGACACGAGATGAGGTGAAGCAGCGGCCAAGCACTGGAACTCCTCCTGCCTGTCCTCAAGGACGTCCGTGCCAAGGGCACACTCACCCCCGACGGACGGAGGACAGACAGACTCAGACTTAGCAACAAGATTGGTGTCGTAGTCTAGGCGACAGCGAGCAGCAAAGTCGACGAGCTCAGCAACTAGGGCAGACGCAGCAGTGGACTCAAAGGAAGGGTCGGTGACAACAGTAGCAAGGAGACGCGTGATAGTAGGACTGGCAGCACAAAGAGAGTCCGACTCCGGGTCGGCAAGAGCAGGACGAGAAGACTCAGGAGGAGAAGGCAAAGGGGCACGCAGAGGAGCAGTGGACGGACGCAGGGCCATCCGGTGCGTGCCAGGGACAGGAGGAGGACGCTGACGCGAACCGCAACCACTAGTGCGAGCAGCACGGACAGGCGACGCAGGGCGAGACGCAGGCTCACGACGCTCAGCAAGACCTCCAGTAGGACCAGTGTAGGGAGACGGAGCAGGCAGTGGGGAGGCCGGCTGTAACTGTAACTGCGACGCGACAGGCTGTGGACACTCTAAGGGAGGAGGAGGACTAGTAGAAGACGGGAGACCAAGAACCTGCTGAAGGAGCGGAACGAAGTACGGCCGAGGCCGCGCGGCGACTCCAAACACAGCAGGGACAGCACCAGCACCCCCAGTGGTAGCACCAGCACCAGTAGCAGCTCCAGCTCCAGTACCCCCAGCAGCACCAGTAGTACCCCCATCAGGACCGCCTCCAGGACCGACAGCAGTAGCCTCCGCGCCAACACCCGCAGCAGCTCCAGCTCCAGAAGTACCCGCAGGTCCAGCAGCTCCAGGACTCCCAGTACTAGCACCTCCGGGACCCGTGGCACCAGCTCCCTCAGCAGCAACAGAATCTCCAGTACCCGCAGCACCTCCAGCTCCAGCAGCTCGCCTCTAGCGCCGGGCAAACCACTCAGGCAGCTCCTGTGGAGAGAGTGGCTCCCGGCGAGAAGAAGCGCCTGGAGAACCGCCAGGCACAGCACCAGCAGGCCCAGCTCCCTCAGGCTCCGCACCCCCAGGCTCAGCACCTCCAGGCGTAGCACCCCCAGGCTCAGCACCCCAGGCGTAGCACTCCAAGGCTCAGCACCCCCAGACTCAGCACCCCCAGGCTCAGCACCCCCACTCATAGTACCCTCAGGCTCAACACCCCCAGGTGTAGCACCCACACGCTCAGCACCCCTAGAGTCAATACCCCCAGGCTCAGCACCCTTAGCAGCACCAGAGTCACCAGCGACCTCGACAGGCTCAACAGCGTCTACCTGGGACACACCTGAAGGGGCAGGACCCTGAGGGGGGAGGGGGTCTACCGGGGGGGGACCTGGCACAAGGAAGAGCGGTGGCGGGGGGAGGGACGGAGTGCGGTAGGGGAAGAGACGGTAGTAGGGGACCGACTCGTCGAACGTGACGTCCTTGGAGGACAGAACACGGCGAGAGGTGGGTGGTAGAACTGCCACCCTGGCGCGTCAGGGGGGAAACCCAGGAAGACGCAAGGAGCAGCACGAGGGGACAGCTTGTCCGCAGACAAGTCACGGACAAACGCCCGAGATCCCCAGACACGGAACGCAGACGCATCGCCAACCTTCCCCGTCCACAGCAAGACTGGGGACATCGCGGGCCGAGAGACCCTGGGGTGAAGGTTGAGCTGATGCGCCGCGTACCGAACCGCAAACGGCCAAAGAAAATGGGGGGCAGCCGCATGCATCATGGACGTACGGGCGACGTCCATGACCATGCCAATGCGGCGCTCAGCAATCCCATTTTGTTGTGGAGAGTCCGGAAGCGTGAAGGTCTGGCGGATGCCTCGTGCACGACAGTAGGCTCGCAGAAGGCCAGAGGAGAACTCTCCGCCTTTGTTAGAGTGCAGATGTAGAACAAGAAAGTCCGAGCCGAAGCTCCGCCTGAGCTGGAGATGAGCTGCGCGGATCCAGTCGATCAACACCTCAGTGACATCATCCTTGCTGCGCAAGGGGAAGACTCTGGTGTAACGCGAGTAGTCCTCAACCACCAGCAGGAAGTAGCGCTCGTGACCCTGTCCACGGACGCGGGCTGGGCCCCACACGTCCATGTGAAGCGTCTGCAGCGGGGCCTCTGTCGGAGGAAACTGGGAGGAGTGAGGGGCAGCCCGCTGCCGCCCCTCGACAGAGGGGACGCAGGTAGGGCCAGGCCCGGGAGGAAGGGGAGGGAGGGACCGGGGAAGACCAGAGACAAGGACACGGGAGGCCATGCTTCAGAGACGAAGCAGGGAGGGGTGACCAAGGCGGTGGTGCCAGAGGAGAGTCTCGTGAGACAGGAGGCGACACGAGCAGGGGGCAGACTCAGGACCAGACCTGGACGCTGCAGCTAACACCTGACCCGACGCAGCTACCCGACCAGACGCAGGGACTGGAGGAGACGCAGTGGTCAGTGTGTACATGCTCGACCCCGGCCGACGTGTAAACGTGGCCAGGTGTTGGCCTGTCTGAGCGTCCGAGCAGTGGGTCACCCGCTGACTCGCAGGAGTGAACTGGTGAACCCCCGCATCCTGTAGGTCAGCACCACTCACCAAGTTCGTAGAGAACGAGGGGAGGTAAAGACCAGACAGGGTGCCAGAGGAGGCCGCCGGACACGGGAGGACAGTGGAGAAGTGAGCAAGGATAGGACCCCCAGAGGGGTCTGCCAGGGAGACTGCAACTGGCCGACCAAGCGGGGTGAGTGTGGTGCGGTCTCGAAAGAAGGAGCGAGAAGCCCCCGAGTCAAGTATGAAGGTGTGGGAGGCCGAAGCCGACCCAGTACCTGAGAGGGCAGACTCACCAGTACCGGAGGAAGCAGACGCACTAGCACCTAGAGCAGCAACCTCGCTAGCACCAAGAGCAGCAGCCTCACCAGCACCTAGAGCAGCAGTCGCAATGCCCGGGTCGGGCGGGAAACACCGGTAACAGTCACCCTCCTCACTAATAGACACAGTATCCATAGCAGCAAGAATAGCATCAAAGTCAAGGTCAAAGATAGCTACCCCTGCCATAGACAGCTCGCCCCAGCGAGGGATCTCGGAGGCCTCAGGGAACTGGTGACGCCAAGCGTCCGTCAGGCGGCCAAAGCAGCGCTGGGTGGGGTGCGCAGCCCCACACTGCTCACCCGCACGGTCGCCAGTGCGCAGGACGTAGGTGCACGGACCAGTACCCCCACCCCGCTGGCGTGCAGCGTACCACTCACGGAGCTGCTGAGGGGACAAGGTCTCCCGACTGCGCTGCTGCTGCTGGCGCTGACCACCACCGGAGCCACTCCTCTGCGAAGAGCCACGACCTCCTCCTCCTCCTCCTCCGCCACCGCCTCCTCCACCTCCGCCACCTCCACCACCTCTGCTCCCACCGCCACCGCCGCCGCCGCCTCTGCTCCACTGCCGCCGCCGACACCTCCACCCCCGCCACCACTCCCACCACCACCCCCACCCCCTCCACTGCCTCCACTGCCGCCTCCACCGCCCCCGCTAGCTCCTCCAGCGCCCCTGTCCCCCTTGCCCTTGCCAGAGCGACGCTTCCCACTAGGGGTAGACGCCGCACAGACCTACTCCAGACCAACGAGGTCGGCCGCAGCAGCAGAGGCAACAGAGGGCAAAAGAGGGGAGGGGGAACACCCCTCAAAGATGGGGGTGCGCGGGTCACCACGAGAGGCCCCTACAGCGACTATGCTCTTCTCCGCTGCTAGGAGGGCCTTCTCGAGGAGGTCAACGGTGAGGGTGGTGGGGCAAACTGAGAGGAAGTGGTCCCTGACTACGCGAAGGGAGTCAGGGAGGCGGGTGACTATGTAGTAGAGAGTGATGTACATGGGGGGGGGGGGTTCTTGGTGCAGAACTCAGCAGGAAGCGGAGCGCGGTAGCGAGTGTCACTAGTGCGGAGGTGCGTAATGAGGTCAGCGACTGTGGGAAAGGCAGCAAGGTCAGGGAAGAGGTACGGCAGCATGAGGCGGCTCAGTGCAGCAGTGGCAGGGGAGGAGTAGCGTGCAACTACAGCGTCGTACAAGGTCTGAGCACTCTTGTACTGACTAAAGTGCGCACGCTCAGTGGTAGGCAGGTGGCGACGCACAGCAAGACGTGCAGCAGCATGGAGCGTGGCCCACTGTGAGCGGACAGTGGCGTCAGCATCAGCAGCAGGGGCAGGAGAGGCACCAGAGGTGAGGTCAAAGAGAGAGAGACCGTCCGCCCTATCGCACTGTAAGATAAGCTGCAGGTCATCTATCCAGATGTCAAAGTCAATGGCCCGACCCTCAGCGTCAAAAGCGAGGACACTAGGGGTAGCCATGACAGCAGTAGACTAGCAGCGCGAACAGTAGGGTGAGGGCAGTGCAGTGACAGAGGCGCTGCTCTTACCAGACAGGGCGGCTCGGGCGGCTCGGCTGCAGGGCGACTTGGCGGCTCGGCAGCTGGGCGGTAGGCGGCTCGGCAGCTGGGCGTCTCGGCGGCTCGGCTGCTGGGCGGCTCGGCGGCTCGGCTTCTGGGCGGCTCGGCGGCTCGGCTGCTGGGCGGCTCGGTGGCTCGGCTGCTGGGCGGCTCGGCGGCTCGGCTGCAGGGCGGCTCGGCGGCTCGGTTGCTGGGCGGCTCGGCTGCTGGGCGGCTCGGCGGCTCGGCTGCTGGGCGGCACAGCGGCTCGGCTGCTGGGCGGCTCGGTGGCTGGGCGGCTCGGCGGCTCGGCTGCTGGGCGGCTCGGCGGCTCCGCTGCTGGGCGGCTCGGCGGGGCTGCAAAGGAGGCGGCGGAAGGGCCGCTGAGAGGGCGGCGTCCGGGGCCGCTGAGAGGAGGCGGCTGGGCCGCCTAGAGGAGGCGGCGGGGCCGCAGAGAGGAGGCGGCGGGGCCGCCGAGAGGAGGCGGCGGGGCCGCCGAGAGGAGGCGGCGGGGCCGCAGAGAGGAGGCGGCGGGGCCGCCGAGAGGAGGCGGCGGGGCCGCTTAAAGGAGGCAGCGGGGTCGCTGAAAGGGCGGCGACGAGGCCGCTGCAGGGGTAGTGGCGGGGCCGCTGAAAGGAGACGGCGGGGCCGCTGAAAGAAGACGGCGGGGCCGCTAAAAGGAGACGGCGGGGCCGCTGAAAAGGAGACGGCGGGGCCGCTGAAAGGAGACGGCGGGGCCGCTGAGAAGGGCGGCAACGGGCCGCTGAAGAGGGCGGCGACAGAGCCGCAGGGAGGGCGGCGTCAGGGCCGTGCAAGGGCGGCGACGGGGCCGCTGGTGAAAGGGCGGCGAGGGGCCGCAGGGGGAGAGTGGCGACGGGCCGCGAAGGGCGGCGGATCGGGGCCGCAAGAGGCCGCTAGGGGGCCGTGAGGGCGGCTTGGGCGGCGCGACGCGGCCGTTAGGGCGGCGCGACGCGACCGCTAGGGCAGCGCGACGGGGCCGCTAGGGGCCGCTAAGGGCGACGCGACGGGGCCGTGAGGGGCCTAGCGAGGGCGCGACGGTAAGGAAAGCACACGGGGCGCGACTCTGGCCTAAGCGGAGCGCGCTTCGGGCAGGAAAAAAAAATTCGTAGTGGTGGGCCCTAGGAATCGTTCCCGTTAGGGAACCTGCTCGATACCATGAGAAGAAACGAGAATGAATGAACTATGAATGAATTGGGTACAAGTACTAACCCTAATTGGGTTGTACCCCTTATGGGCTACCCCACTATAGCCTACACAATATGCATGAGCTATAATGTTCTGACACTCCCTTCTCGCTCGCCTCGAATAGCCCTCCCGGCGACCTTCGACTCTCCCATCACGTATGCCCTCCTTTCTCCGTCGCCTCTCTCGTTCTCCCTCTGCTATCGCGTCAGCGTGACCCATTCTGTACTCTGTTATTGTGTTTGGTTTGTTTGTTTTTTCTGTCTTTCCATCTATTCTCGACACCCTCTCTCCCGCCGCCTATCCTCTCTCCCGTCGCCCTCCCGTTTCCCGTCGCCCTCCCGTTTCCCGCCCCCCTCCCGTTTCCCGTCGCCCTCCCTTTTCCCGTCGCCCTCCCGTTTCCCGTCGCCCTCGCGTTTCCCGTCGCCCTCCGGTTTCCCGTCGCCCTCCCGTTTCCCGTCGCCCTCCCTTCTTCCGTCGCCCTCCCTTTTCCCGTCGCCCTCGCGTTTCCCGTCGCCCTCCCGTTTCCCGTCGCCCTCCCGTTTTCCGTCGCCCTCCCGTTTCCCGTCGCCCTCCCGTTTCCCGTCGCCTTCGCGTTTCCCGTCGCCCTCCCGTTTCCCGTCGCCCTCCCGTTTCCCGTCGCCCTCCCGTTTCCCGTCGCCCCCCTTCTTCCGTCGCCCTCCCGTTTCCTACGCCCTCCCTTCCCGTCGCCCTCCCGTTTCCCGTCGCCCTCCCTCTTTCTCTTCATTCGCGTCACCTTGCCCATCATAATTTCCCCCCTAGTGCTGTTTTTCTCTTCTGTTTCCCGTTATTGCACCTCTCCCAGGCCTCAAGTCCAAGGCAGCACATTGATCAGAGCTCTACTAGCTCTAATAACGTTCAAACACTTTCACTCTCATCACGTACATGTGTGTCTGCTTGGGATTTAGCGTGAGATGTTGCTAGTTGTGAATTTGGTGAAGTATTGGCTCTAGTGACTGCAGGAGTGCTCGTCGCTCAACTTTGTGCCAAATTCGCACATGTACATGTGAGAGAACCTGGCTGCTAATCAGAATTGACAATGAACTATCGTTCCTGGTCCAATAAGAAACTCGTCCGAGGGTCGGAAAAAAAAAGCACACATACAGCAATTCCAACATTCCATAACAAAACAAAAATGCTTCATCTTCAAGTGGACCCAACTAGAAGGGGGGGGTCACTATTTTGCCTGCTGGCTTTAATCGACATTAAAACGTTAGACAACTTGTTTTCTAGCCATTAACTTACTCCTCACTAAAGGGCTTAGATGAAGGATGTTATAATATCTCTGTTGTCATGATATCACGTTGACATAGAACGTGGGTCAAACATACATGAAAGCTGATTATAGAATGTTTAAGCTCCATACTTGGGATACCTCCACAGCTTGAATGCAACCTCGTATATAAAGCGATCTGCCAAGATGGCCCGGTCTCCTCCATTCTACAAGCAATGCAAAGATAACAGGGGGCGTCAGATTTCAGCCATGGAAGTATCAACAAATCATGCAGACAGAGCCCACTCCCAGTTTAGGCTTTAGGGTGCTTCCCGTCCCATTAAACGTATTAAACACTGTGTGTGGTGAAACTGGTCCACAACATTCCACTCCCTGCCAACCCATGCCAACCCAAGCCATTCCATGCAACACACCTGTATGCACTCTTGCATGCCAAAGCGTGTTGCCTCATCACAGCGTGTGACAGCAGGCAGATGGCGGGTCACCAGCAGAGGGTGGTGGCGTCTGCACCAACCCAACAGATGCCATCCAGAGCAGAAACAACATTCAGGACAGGTGCGGGGGAGGTGGGGGGTAGGGCGATGGAGGAGAAGTGAGGTTGGAATGGGATTATAAGACTAGAGGAGTATTCAAGAGGGGGGAAGGGAAGCACGGACATGATACCAAGGGAATAACAATCAGACAACACTTGAGAAGCAACAAGAAGCAGCAAGAAGCAATAAGAAGCAGCGAGCTCAGAGGAAGAAGCAATGAGAAGTGGCACGAAGGCGTACCGAATGGCCTCCACGGGCTCGTCCCCCCGCAGCTCATAGCTCTGCCACGGGACAAAGGCCATGCGCGGCACACACGGCACAGAGCCACCCGCAGAGGCACCAGCAGCAGGAGCAGCAGCAGCAGAGGGCGGCGATGCGACCTTGGGAAGAGAGCGCAAGGGAACGGGTGACCAGGGTGCCTCAGTTGACTGCTCTGGAGCAGCACCGCCACCACCAGCAGCAGCAGGAGGCACCTGTTGGTTGCCCTGATCCCCATATCCCAGCACCACGGCAAGGTACAGGTGGTTCTGTGCCCGCAGCGGCAAGGAGGAGGTCACCTCACTGGACACTACTGTTCCCTCACCACCACTCCACTCCTCTCCCTCGCCTTCCTCCCCCTTGCGTGCCTTGCCATCGCGCCATCTCAACAGCTCCGCCACAAGCGAGTCTACCCACTGAATCGCCTGCTCTGCCTGTCCCCACACCTGCCCTTCCATAGCGCCGTTCTCGCCGCTGCCTGCACCTGTCACCACACCTCCTGCTCCTGCTCCTCCCACCCCTGCTTCTACTGCAGCTGCTGCTGGCAAACCACCAGCGCTTTTCTCCACAGCACTGCCGCCCCATGAGGCGACGTCAGCAGGGCGCACGTGCAGCAGTAGAAGGTCCACCTCGCCCTCCTCCCTCTCCGCAGCGCTGGGGGGAGGGCCTGGAACCTCCTCCCTGTGCAACCCTAGCGCCGCCACTATCCTCGCTGCCAGCACTGATGGGTCAGGCGCTGCTGCTGCTGCTGTCGCTGCTGCTACTGCTGCCCCAGCTTCTTCGTCTCCTCCTGCATCGGCGTCGCCTTCTGCTGCTGAAGTGCGAGAGAAGTCATCGGAGTCACCGTTGACGAGGAGGTGGTGGGAGGTGGAGGGGAGTGCAGCGCGGTTAAGGTGGGTAGTGCGGAAGCCAGCGGTGCGGGCAAGGGCAAGCGAGACTGGGGAGGAGGAGACAAACGCCGCCTCCATGCCCATGAACCTGCACGGGTGGGAGGAGAAAGGGAGGCGAAGCACGGAGGCAAGTGGGAACGGTGAGGGGCCAATGGAGGCGAGAGGAGGGGAGGCAAAGTGGTACGGTGCGGTGGGGAGGGGAAGGGGGAAAGTGAGGATGGGGGCGAAGGGAGGAGACAAGGCCGAAAAGGCGAGCGGAGAAGTAGGTGAAATAACAGATCCAATCGGAAGAAGAATGCACAGTGTGCAGCAGGCATAGGCAGCAGGCACAAGCAGCCAGCACAGGCAGCAGGCACAGCAAACCCGCGGCCGCAAGAGATGGATAATGGCGAAGGGTGAGTATGGGAGCCATGGCCGTGGCAATAATGTGGTGTAGCATGGTGTGTGTGGAAGGCGTACCGTTCAGACATAGGTGTGGGATTGGTTTCCCATGAGATGTGAGGAGCGGAGGCAGCAGCAGCGGTGGTGGGGTTGCTGGGGTCGCTGGCGTGTGTGGTTCTCGCAGCCTCCTGCTGATCGATGGCCGTGTGCGGTTTGGGGGTGCTCATGCACACACATGTGCACACACACACACACACACACACACACACACACACACACACACACATGCAGACACACATACACACGCATGCACACATACATGCACACACGCATGCACACACACATGAAACACGCACATGCTCACGCATGCACACACACATGCAGACACAATCGCATAGGCAAGAGGCAGACAGGAAAGCTGAAGGCGGGGGTAGGAGGGTGAATGAGAAACTCTGAGCAGAGGGCAGCAGCAGAGCAGCCCCACACAGGGGTTCAGCACAGAGTAGAATGAGAGCGATGGAGAGGGGGGGGAAGGTGAGTTCACGAGAGGGAGGCTTGCGGAGGGGACTGGATGCACGCAAGGAAGGCAATGAGGGAAGAAAAGGGGAAGCCAACGATAATAGGAAGGCGAAGGTGAAACCAAGGAGAAGGGGTGATGGGGGAAATGGGTGAGGGGAGAGAGTGGCGAGGGAGAGAGCGGTGAAGGACAGGCGCGGGAGGGGCAGGAGGGGGAGCAGCAGCGCACCTGCGGAAGGGGGGCGTGCGTGCAGTGGAAGATGTCCAGTAGCTGCGCCAGCTCCAACGCCTCCCGCTGCCCCGCACTCACTGCCAGGGGGAGCATGCGCGCAGCGCGGGCAGGGGGGGCACGCGAGCAGCGCGGGCAGGGGGGGGCACGCGAGCAGCGCGGGCAGGGGGCGGGCATGGGGAAACGGAGAACGGAGGCATGTGAGGACGCGGACATGCGAGGGAGTCGTGTGACATGTCACGGGCCGTGTGGTGATGATGCAGGCATGAGGCGGCATGGGGATTGGTCTGCGCCTGAGTCATGTCATGCATCATGTTTGTGTTTGAGCGCATGGGTATGCGAAAGCACTTTGACCGTCATGGGGACAGCGGCGCATGGGGAATTGCTCTGTCACGAAGAGCTAGGACATGATTCAGACTCGTTTGAAGAGAAGGTATAGAGCCGGGGAAAGTGAATGAGAAACGAATTCGCAGCAGCAGCAGCAGCAGCGGCGGCGGCAGCAGAAGCAGCAGCAGCAGCAACAGCAGCGGCGGCGGCGGCGGCGGACCATGCGAGGGGAGCTGTCTGAGAGCCAGGAGGCCGGACACGCCGTCAGCCGCCACGCGGTGCAGCGCGGGCACGTCAACTGTCTCCAGAGGCGTTCGCGTTCGCTGCGAGGCAGACGCGGAGATTCGCGATGAGGGTTCCGCTGAACGCGACGCCGGAAACGGGCCGTCGATGAGCAGCCCGTCGCCGTAGATTATGACCGCGCGATGCGGGCGATCGGCCATTGGTAGATGCTCCTAAGCGCAACGTTACGCTACTGGTGTTTGAGTGAAGGGACGCGGATAAGCACAACGGTGATGCTCATGAGCATCGTGTCTTCGCCTCTCCTTGTAATTCGGTGGAATGAAAGACACGTGGCGGAGTGGATAGGATGGCGCTGGGTTACGTGATGTGAGAATTATTCAAAAAACGTGAATGCATGATTACAAGGGTTGTGTTCCTGTGCAGAACTGACGGCTGTGGTGGAATCCAAGTGCAAACGGGAGAATGTTTGACAGAACAAGGTCGGGGAATTAGGGCGCGTGTCTTTTGGTGTAGAGTTCTAAAAAAAGATCAACTTTTGCTGGTAACACTTTTCGTCAATTTCGTACAACCTAGATTGCGAAAACCGTGTGTCACAGTACATGGTTTGATGAAACTGAAGGACACTGAACTAGGGTCGAATTTTCACGTGCACGTTTATCCAAACAATGTACTTCTGCTCGTGCACAGTGAATTTGCGAACTGTACGACGGTCACGAAAAACAACGTACCAGGTTACTGTAGCCGGATTCGTCACGGACTTTGTCGTCTAGACTAGGTAACCTACGAAATTTGAGCACGACTCGGAATCTACTGTACATAGTCGAACTTCTTTAGTCGAACTTTGTTGTTCCATCTGTTTGATGTGAAAGGTAACACTGCGACTTGACCACAAATAGTCGAGAAAGTCGACCACAGGTCAACCGAAGTTCAAATGGATAAAGCTGAACAAAAAACATGAACTACAAATACACTCCAAAGACACGCGCCCTTAAGATAAGGGGTATTAGAGGAAGGTAGACTTGCAAAACAGAGTAGCTTTGATGACTGGTAGGCTGGAAACTTGGCTGGAAAAGCTCAACAGAGCTGCTGGACTTGGCTTGATGAGAGAAAACTTCACTATGATCAAGATTAACAAGCCCACTAAAGCACAACTTCTTGAGCATTACAAACATGCAGATTGATAGCTCAAACTAGGCTGCTAGACAAGGCAACTTCCTTGGGAACTTGGGCACAATTCAAATTCCATGAACCTTGAGTGACTTGAGAGCCACATGAGGTGCATGAATAAGAAATCTCTGGAATGTACTGTTATAGCTGATTCTGTTTTGTAGAAACCTGTAGAAACTGTCGACCCTTCCGTTTGAGAGCAATCCCGAACTGTATCGAGTCTTCGGCTGCAATCTGATTTTGCTGCGGAAGTTTCTGAATTTTCGCGAAGCCTTCAATCCGTCGCCGACATTCTTGCTGCTCCTTGTGTGCAAAGGGCTGGGGCGGCAGAGACTCGATTCTCCAACACTCCCCCTCGCACCAGACCCGAAGCACACATACGCCCATTCTTACTCTCCTCTTACATCTCCTTGGTATACACTCCATGCTGCTGCCTATGTTGCTTCTCCTCATTCTCCTCAAACTGCTGCACTGCTTCATGAAGTGTCATGAGACCTGCTCTTGCCTTGCACATGTTGAATGCATCATGTGGAAGAACCTTAGTCATGAAATCTGCCGCTTGGTCGAATGAACGACAAAAGTTGACGGCGAGAACTCCCTTCTCTAGTTGCTCACGAATGAAATGGTACTGCACCTCGATGTGTTTTGTACGCCCATGATGAACCGGATTCTTGGAGAGGCCGATAGCTGAAGTGTTGTCCACGTAGAGCGGAGTTGGTTGAGTTTGCGGCTGCCTCAAGTCCTCCAAGAGTCCACGTAACCAAATTGCCTCCCTTGCTCCTTCGGTCATTGCTATGTACTCAGCTTCGGTTGTAGAAAGCGCCACACAACTTTGCTTGCGCTATTGCCAAGAAACAGCGGCACCGCACATAAGGAAGATATAGCCACCGGTGGACTTGCGTGTGCTCAAATCTCCCGCCCAATCTGCATCGGTAAAGCCTTGGAGGGAGCTTGCATGTGGGCTGGCTTGGAAGAGAAGACCATGATTAGAAGTACCTTTGAGATACCGAAGAGCTCGCTTGGCTGCATGCATATGAATAGGTGATGGGGCACTCATGTGTTGAGCGAGCTTGGATACCGTGAATGCTAGGTCGGGCCTTGTGCATAGGGCTGCATACATGAGACACCCAACCTGGCTTTGGTAGAGAGCTAGGTCTTGTGGGGATACCTTGGGTGAATTCTCACCATGATGCTCACTCTCCTCAAGACACAACTCCTCAATACCCGTGATATCCAGGCTTGAATCTCTCTCCTCAAAGGGCTGATGTGAAGACAAAGGGACAAAGTTGGTAGGAAGTGGGGTAGGTGATGGCTTGCTATCATCAAGACCAAACCTCTCAAGGACCTTTTGGATGTACCTTTGCTGGAATAGGAAGATGGACCGTGACTTATGATCTCTCACAATGTTCATACCAAGTTAATGACTCGGCTCACCAAGATCGGTCATTGTGAATGCACTCATGAGAATACCTTTCACCTTGTTGAGGAGATCAAGAGAACCTGAGACTAGGAGGAGATCATCGACATATACTAAGAGCCAAATGTACTCCCCCTCACTCGTGTGCATGAAGTACAACGCGTTGTCTCTCATGGACCTTGTGAAACCGTGCTTGAAGAGTACCTTCTCAAGAGCATGATACCATACCCGTGGGGACTGTTTCAGACCAAAAAGGGACTTTACTAAGCGACAAACTCGACCCGTACCATCATCATAACCTTCGGGTTGTGCCATGTATACCTCTTCTTCCAAGACACCGTAGAGAAATGCGTTCTTGACATCCATTTGATGGATATGGAGACCAAGATATGCGGCTATGGCGAGGAGGACTCGTACCGTGGTGTACTTCGCTACTGCGGCAAAGGTTTCGGTGAAGTCTAGACCTGGAATTTGGGAATAACCTTTTGCCACTAACCTTGCCTTGTACCTATCAAGTGTACCATCACCTTTTACCTTAATCTTGTACACCCACTTGACACCAATTACCTTCTTCCCTGGAGGTGGCTCAACAAGACGCCATGTACCTCTCTTCATGAGACTCTCAATCTCTTCTTCCTCGGCCTTCAACCATTGCTCTCTCTCGGGACTTGCCACTGCCTCACGACGACTCAATGGCTCTCGTGGAAGGTGTGACGCTGCCATGCATATTGCCTCTACCTTCTTGTGAATGCAATCCTTGCTCTCCTCACATGTGCACCTTGATGACATGTCAACCATGAATGTGAAGGGCTTTTTTTACCTTGCGGACTCGTTTACCTTTACCCAAAGCCTCACTTGGCTGAGACAAATCAATGGTAGGGTTCGGTCTCACAGTGGTTGGATGCGTTGACACGGTCATCTGCGGCTGAGACAATGGCTGCGACATCGGCTGCGACGGCGGCACGACTGCATGATCTTCTCCCGGCGTGGAACTCTCTTGATTATCGGTGTTGACTTGAGGAATAGGTGTGGTGACTTGTGTCGGTGAAGCTGAAATGTTCGTCGGCATAGTTGGCTGTGAAGATTCTCTTGGTGGGGATCTTGAGACTAGAAGCTTGGGAATTGATGATGACGCTGCGTTGTCGAAAGTTGGAGACGGTTCGGTCTGATTGGCGCTGTTTCTCGGTGTTGAAGATGGCAATAACTGATGACGGCCGATTCCGGGACGTGGGGGTGAAGTTGAGAAAGGTCTTGGGTGAAGAAGTCGGCTGTTGGAGCTGGTGTTGGTGGTGATTCGCTGAAGTGATCCTCGTGCTATGAGCTGGCTTGACGTTGGAACCTGAAGTGATGAACGTGTGTGAGAACGAGATGTTGCGGTAATGGTTGTCTTGTTGGTAGGAAGAATTGTAGATGGTGCTAATGTAGGTACTTGGAGTCTTGTAGCTGTAGGTTGCTGCTGCATTGGATGATGGTGAGCTTCTGTAGTTGCCTCTGAATTGACGGCTGGTGATGGGTTTGATGGTGTAGTGGTGGGCTGATCCGGGTGACGTTGAACTTGCGGGGTTGGTGTTGAAGTAGCTGGCTGGTTGGTGACGGTTGGCTACTGCTCCTTTGGCGGTGATGTAACGGTGACTTCTTGGGGTGGATTGTCTTCATTTGACGGCTGAACCACATCTCCACTTGGTTGAGTAGCTGCTGGTGGCACTGGTGTGGCGCAGCTGGTCTCGTTGACGACGGCTTGCGGGAGATCGATGATGGGTCCGCTATGGTCAGAATTGGTGTCATCTCCGTCCTCCTCTTGTGTTGTTTCCTCAGGTGCTCTTGCTGGTTCCTGTTGGAGAGAGGGTGGTAGAGAGGAGGAAGAGGAAAACTTGTGCCAATCTGCAAGGGACATGTCTTCATAGAAGACCACATCCCTTGAAACCACTTCTCGCTTGGTGACGGGATCCCAAAGGACCCATCCCTTGCTCTCGTTGCTCATGCCGATGAAGAGGCCCCAATGAGCTCTGCTGTCCAGCTTGACTCTCTTTGCATCTGGAACACGGTATTGGGTCATGGAACCAAAAACACGAAGCATAGACAGATCTGGTTTAACTCCAAACCAAGCTTCATATGGCGTTACACCATCCGGTAGGGGCCTTGTGGGTCTCCTGTTGCGAACATAGATTGCCATAGTGATTGCCTCACCCCACCAGAGCTTGTCAAGGCCCTTAAACTGAAGAAAAGTGGTAGCTATTGCTTGAATAGTGCGATGAAACCTCTCTGCAACTCCATTTTGCTGAGGACTATAGGGACAAGTGAACTGTTGTTTGATGCCCAATGCCAACAACTCCCCCTGAAATGCTTTTCCCATGTACTCACCTCCTCGGTCCGACCTCAAGGTGAGTAACTTCTTCCCTGACTCTCTCTCAACAAGTGCTAGCCATTGCTTGAAACACTTGTGAACTTCATCCTTGGTGTTGATGAAAAATGACCACGAGAAACGACTCTTGTCATCAATGAAAGACACCAAATATCTCTTACCGTTTCGAGTAGGGTCTCGCATGGGGCCAAATACATCAGTGTGGACCAACTCTAGGAGGTCCCTTGACTGAGACTTAGAAGGGAAAAAGGGCT